ACACAGAAGTTAAAAATTATCTATGGATGATAATGTGTATGGTAATATCTTTCAACCAATATACAGTGTATTCATGATGAGAAAACCCATTTGGTATTCTGCAATGATACACAGTGATTGAATTTTAAAAATATTTAAAAATAAAATGAAAAGAGGGTGGAGACTTTAACTATTGTATGAAAAGGTGAGGCATTTGGGAGGTGATTAGGATTAGATAAAATATCAAGATGGAGCTCCATGTTCGAATTATGGTTGTTTTAGTAGAAGAAATACCAGGACGGGAACAAAGACTTGGACATAAACACACAAGTTCTTGCCATGTGATACATCTCAGAGCTCTGCAGAGAGAACCCACCAAAAAGACCCTTACTACATGTGACTCCTTGACTTTTCACCTCCAGAACTACAAATGGAAAAAACCTCTACTTTTTATATGTTACCCAATTTGTGGATTTCAATGATTAAGTAATGGAGACCAGACAAAAACACAAGAGGTTACTAAAACATAATCATAACAATGAGGGATCTGGTTGAGGAAGGATGAAGCAGTGCATGGTAGCAACAGCTGGACAAATAGGAAGTGGTCTGGTCATGAAGAATCTTAGTGGCAGACTTCAACCTGTAGATATTTGAACACTGTTGGAATATATAAAGGAAAGAAAGGGTCAAGTGTGGTTGTCTGTTAGAAAAATTATCCAAACAATAGTGTGGAAGATGTATTTGTAAGTACAGGACTGCTGTATAATACTCTGGGTGTTAGCTGATGAGAATCTGAATAACACTGACTCTCTAGAGTAAGTATTTAATCATTTCACATTGATTGTGTGCTATTTTACTTGATATGCTTATCATAACACTCTTGCATTATTTTTTTTCTTATTTATATTCTTTTGGGTTCTATGGATTTGATTTTCTATTTGAGAATATTATTTTGAGTTTCCTTAGACGATAAAAGGAAAATATGTGTATCACATGCTCATCTATCCGTTCATGACACTTACTTTTAAATGATATATGCCAAGAGCATGATAAAGATTTTAATTTTTAATTTACATTTATTACACAATGACCCTAGCTATTATATTAAATATAAAACATCTAAGAGAATATTAAAAAAAAAAACTCTCGAAAAGTTTTTGATTTAATTTGAAAGAGGAAAAAATAGAAAATGTAAAAATACAAAATAAAAACTTGGCATGAATTTAATAGTTTTGTTTTTTGTATGTTTTTTCTTTAATTTCTTTTCTTTATTCATGATAGAACATGTGTGCACACACATGAGATTGAACAAGAGAGAGAGGAATGAGCACCTGCAGCATCTGGTCACACTATGATCTCCTTCTTCCAGCTTTCCAAACCTTCAGATCTTAGGCCGTCAAGCGTGTGCCGAGAATATTTCAGGCTGACCAGCCAGAGATTTGAACTGAAGTCACCACATGGGATCTGGCTCCTCTTGAGCAGCTCATTACTGCTGCTCTGGGAAGCCAGTCTACATAGTTATATATTTTAGTTAGAATTTAATTAAATTTGAGCAGGTCAATTAACTACAATCTCAGTGTCCTTGTCTTTAAAATATATCTAATAGCACCTACCTCAAGAAGTCATTATGATGATTAAATCTCACTTTATAAATGATAAAATGCTACACAAATCTTAGTATTAATACTTTGAATAATTTATCAAAAGAATCCTAATTAAGAGGAAGAGAAACAAATGGAAGAAAGCTAACAGTGATGGACAATTGAACTCCAACCTGAAGTGGAACATGGCACCCTCAGACCTTGGGAAACAGTGTGATGACACACGCAGGGAGAAGTTACAAGGGGTTAGCTTCCCTTTCCAAGCTTCTGTTTCATTTTTTGGAGTGGGTAACAACATTATATAGTGTGCTTCTTTTAACTAATCTTTCACCAGAGCAGGCATCATGTTTTAATGAGTTCTAATTTCCCATTTGATTCCAATGTGAATCTTATACCAAATTGCATGAAAAGGTGATGATTGCAGACCTACTTTCTACTAGGTCCTGGCAGGAGAAAGTCCAAATCATTAAATTCATTACAGCAGCATGTCAGAATACAAACCACATTGAACTAGGTGAGAGTCAGTCATCCCTTCATATCTTTCTATCTTCTTGAACAACATACTGTGTATTATTGGCCCACAGTTTTCTTTCCCCTAAAACCAGAGGTTGAAAATTATAATAAATTAACTTTCTTCTAGCTTTTTAATTTTGGTTCTCAAGGTTCACAATTCTCTCAGGAAAGAAAAATGGGGATTTCAGAGGGTATGTGTCACTTTAGCAGGGAAGTTTCAAGTTTTGGTTATATCAGATGAATGAGGATGTGGAATCACACCAAGGTCAAAGGGATGAAGAAAGTTCAGTAAAGGCAGGGGGCACTCCAAGAAGAGGCAAGTGCTCTTTCCTTAAGCCAGTGCCAGAACAACATTCATCCCATATACCCTGACACCTACTGCAGATGCCGACAATCCTTCTAAACCTACCCAAACACTCTTTGTTCCCTTAACACTACCCCAGCCTCATACACATGCATGCACATACATACACAGAGGTACAAATACACACACCGCCACCTATCGAGAATTGAGAGACATTTTGGAAAGGAACCAAAGCAAATTTTTCAGGAGCCTAGAAAAAGACTAGACTAATTATTTGCTAGTCCTATTGTCAGACTGTTTGACATTAGCCAAGTTTCATGTAGTTTCAAGTTTCAGATGAAAACATTTACATAAGGGTACCCCTGATGTTTTACAGTGGTTTTTCTTGTTATAAAGCTCTCAAAATATTGACTTCCTTGGAAACATTTCTTCTTACACTCCATTGCATTTTATAAATGTCTCTTTGGTTTCTTGAGTTGCCATTAAGTACACCCTCACTCCCCTCATGAGACTATCAACTCTTTAGATCTATTTCTCATTGTCTGTTGTGGTGACATCATCATTATTATATTTTTAATGCTTATTATGTCTCCAAGGATCCAATCCCATACATCATCCATTTAAATAAAATGATTTACTCTGTGAGAAAGATGCATATTCAAACCCCTGGAAAATAGTATGTCTTCAAAAGATATATGAGCAGCAGAAACATCTTAACTATGAAAAGATAGGCACACCAGCACCAGCTGGGAAAAAAGCACAAGGCTTTGGTTGCTATTGCAACTTTCTCAAAGCAAGATACTTCCCTTAATACACTAATACTGTTTCTAAGACTGATGTAGTTATGGGAACCAGCAGTTAACATAATGGCTATGTCACTGGACTCCCACGTAGTCATACGCAGTTCGCATCCCAGACCCAGTGGCTTAAAACTCACGCTGGGTGCGTGTGCATGCGTGCGTGCCCAAGATCCTGAGAGGAGAATGGAGGAGAAGGGATTGTGGCGTGACCATCTCCCCTGGGGGGTGATTTCTCGCTTTCAGTCTCTATGTCTGTCTCTGTCTGTCTGGCAAGCGCATGCGCCCTATAGCAAAATCCTCTCAAAAAAAAAAAATGACTGATGTAGTTACAGTATTAAGAGTTAAAAAACATTGCTACCCAGTTGACTGATTAAGAAACAGAGACACACACAGTTAAGGACTATGATGTGCTGAGTATTTCATTAATGGGGGGATTGATTTTTTTTTAAGGTAACTCAAATAGGAACCCTTCTAATGTTTTAGTAACCTACTTCATAACAAAGCTTGACTGTCAGGTCAAGACTAGAGATCTCATCACTGTCTGCTAAGTCACCAATGTCCTTCAGAGCTCCTGGAACACAGAAGTCACCCAGTCCATGTTCAGGGAATGGATTTACTACATCACATTATTTCCTTAGCCACATATTCCCCTCTAGTTTACAAACTGATTATTGAAAAAAATCAGAAACATTTAGAGTTATGTTTATACTCTGTCTACTTACATGAAGTATTATAACATATTTTAAAGTTTATTTATTGATTTCTTCCATGAGAGAGAGAGAAGAAGAAAAAGAGAGCAGAGAGATAGGTACCCCCAATAGGGTCTTCACTGTTTAATCCAATCTAGTCTCAGCCTGTCTGTATAATGGGTACATATGCACATGGCCAACATGTTCAGAGAGGTCCCAGGACACAAACCCAGAACCTTCCAATGTAGCTCCATCTGACTTACCTCTGTCTGGCCCAAAGATTGTATATATTAATGGCATCACTTGAGCTTATTTTTGTCCTTGACATTATTTGGGGGGAAAAAAATAACCTCCAAAATATACCTCATCTTCTCTTTTTCTTTTTTTTTTTTTGAGAGGTTTTAGCTATAGGGTGCGTGTGCTCACCAGACAGACAGAGAGAGACATAGAGACAGAAAGTGAGAAATCACCCCCCAGGGGGGATGGTCACGCTGCAATCCCTTCTCCTCCCTTCTCCTCTTGGGATCTTGGGCACGCACGCACACGCGCCCGGTGTGAGTTCTAAGCCACTGGGTCTGGGACACCAACCGCAGTCGACTATGTGGGAGTCCAGCGACATAGCCATTACGCTAACTGTTGGTTCCCAGCCTCATCTTCTCTTTTATATAAATCATTCAAAACCATCAACTTTTACTCTTGTCACTTTCAAGATAATTTGAAAAGATAATTTAAGAAAGAAATAAAGTAGTACTAGAAATCTTACGGTAGAAGAGCGATATCTATTTCAAGACAGTGAGTCTGAATCATTTCTGTTATCACTGTTCTACATATGCATTTAGCACATGTTCGTAACAGTAACACCTCCACAGCAACAGCAACAATATTATGCTTGATTTAATTCATCACCCTCTAGAATTTGAGACAAAACTGAAAACAGTCTCCAAAAACTGAAATTTAAAGCCTTTTTCTTGTCTCTTTGCTGTAGGCCTACACAAAACCTGATTTCCATTTTGAAGGATGATTTTCATCATTTCTGTTTTTCACACTTTTTCTAATAAGACTTTTCAGCAGCTAGGTCAAAAGTAGATGTGGTTGACACTAAAACACAACTTACCTATAGTTCTGCTTCTCGTTTCCTATGTGGAATCTGTCGTACTGTGAATAGGCTCGGTTTCCTTCCCAGTCCATCAGCTCAATTCTTAGTGTGTACTGCCTCTGACTGGTTATGGCAAAAATAAACTCATTCCCCAGCCAACATTCACCAGAGGGATTTCCAAAACCCTGGGGAAGATGATAGACATGCAGTTGTTACTTCAGAATCTCTCACATCAACATCCAACTATTAATATTTGCTAAGAAACAATTTTTAAAAATACTTAAAAGTAAAGGAATTTTTCACATTTTTGCACACTTTTTTCCCCTAATTACTGATTTATTTCACTGCTTTTCTTCTAGTGGGTCATCAGAAAAGTCATGACACATTTTGTTTTTCTATGTAAAAATGTGTCATGACTTTTCCAATCATCCAATATGTTTGTCTCCCTCAAGGCTTGTGTCTAATTCTTTTTTTTTTTTAACTTTTATATATAATTTTCATTGTATCATTGTACACCTTTATATTGTGCAACATGGTTTTTCCCAGCATAAGTACAGTGCATATTAGTCAAGTCAAAGACATTACCACATACATCATAATCAACAGATAACTTTCATTTTTGTCTGCTGAGGGTTTTGCTTGTTTTTTTCCACAATCCAATATTTCAGTGGCACCATTCTCTAGTTTACCTTAACTTGAAATCACAAATGGAACTGAATTCATTTTCCTTCAAACCTTGATCCACTAGTCAGTTGATCTGCCGTTTGAAAAGCCTTAAGCAGTTTCCTGTTCATTCTAGTTCAGCTCTTATCTTACATGTGAATAATGACAATAATTTCTCATCTGGTCTTCTTGTACACGTATTTTTTACCTATAGCCTGCTCAATTACTGGCATTAGAATTAGTATCCTAAAATAGTCAGTATGTGTCTAAGTCTTATTAAAGTAAAATCTTATTCAAATCTGTGCAGATGAGACAGTCTTAATTAAATGAATCCAGTTAAGATGTTTAGTGAGAAAATACTCCTCAAATCAAAGTTGCTTTCTGAGGGACCAGCAGTTGGTGTAATGGCTATGTTGCTGGACTCCCATGTAGTCGACCACAGTCCTAGTCCCAGACCTGGTGGCTTAAACTCACGCTGGGCACGTGTACATGTGTGCCCAAGATCCCAAGGGGAGAATGGAGGAGAAGGGATTGTGGCGTAGCCATCCCCCCTGGGGGGGTGACATCTCATTTTCTGCCTCTCTGACTCTGTTTTTCTGGCAAGCGCATGTGCCCTATGGCAGGAACCTCTCCAAAACAAAGTTGCTTTTTGAAAATGTGATAAAATATTAGTTAATAAAATATTTGAACATAATTAAAGCATTTTTTGATAAATACTATCAGGGTGATATCATTCAAATCATTTAACAATATTATTACTGTTTTTATTATTCAGGAGTCCAATTGTGCTCCATAGTAACCTTATAGAGTACTGTACAAGCCTGACTCTTTTTTTAAGTTTATTAATTGGTTTCTTCCATGAGTGAGAAATACAGACACTGAGAGAGATCCACAGCCCCCTGGTAGAGTCTTGATGCCACAATCCAACTCCAGCTTCAGCCAGCCCCAAATAATTGATCATTGCATGCCTGGCTTACTCAGTGTAGTCTTCAGGTTGAACTCGGAACTTTCTAATGTGAGTCTGCTTCACACAGCATAACATTTTACAGCTGAACTAATGGCTGACCCCTAGACCCTTCAATTTTGCAGCTTTAGCGTTTTAAAAAAAATTAATAAAAAAACCCTATAATCATTAATAATGCTTCATGGATTTAGATTTCAAACCAAAAGGCTTACTTATAAGAGCTAGTGAGTGAACCTAGCTACTGCTTTGCATCTGAACCTCATTATGGCTCTGTTTTTATGAAGCAGTTCCAGTCCTGGTTAGTAAGTATTAAAAATAATTTCTTTGACGAGATTAAAAGGGAAAAAAAAAAAGGTCTTCAAAAGAAAGCCAACTTTTAATGTAGGAGATGTTTGTAGCAGGAATATAAAGCACCTTAGAAAAACTGCTGGCATTCAAGATTTTAGGTGTTTGTAATTACCTCAGAAAGTACTTCCAGGTAAGACTTGAAGCTCAATGTAATTCCTGATCTACGTGTTTATGTTAAAGACCAGACCAATGATAAAAGCTGTGTTATTTCTGTGAATCCTCAAAAACTAGGGGAAAATTTGCAAACACCGGACAACTAGTAAGTATTCATTGCAGTTCAAAGTAAAAGAGAGAAAGGAAAGGAGAGTGGATGGAAAGGAGGCTAGATGAGAGGAAGTGAGGAAGGCAGAAAGTAAAGAAGGAGGAGAGGGAAGGGGAATGGGAACGCGCCCACCCCACTCCCACCCCCCCACAGCACTTCGCCATAACATACAAAGAAATAGCCTTAAAACAACAGTTCTTACTGAGACACTGTGGTTGAGCCTCAGTGGTTTTTTTTTTTTTTTTTTGGAGAGATTTTTGCTCTAGGGCGCATGCACTCGCCAGACAGAGAGAGACAGAGAGACAGAGAGCGAGAAATCACCCCCAGGGGGGATGGTCATGCCGCAATCCCTTCTCCTCCGTTCTCCTCTTGGGATCCTGGGCAAGCACGTGCACAAGCCCAGTGTGAGTTTTAAGCCACCAGATCCGGGACGCGAAACGCGGTTGACTACGTGGGAGTCCAGCGACATAGCCATTACGTAACTGCTGGTCCCTCAGTGTTTTGTAATTACACTTACTGAATCATAATTTCTGGAGCTCTGGTTGAAGCAAAAAATCCTCACTCTACACTGAATCAAAATATTTGAGAGCAAACCACATAAATTTCTGCATCTGAATAACCCTCAACCTGCCTCATGCACATTAATATTTGGAGGATTGCTGTAGTAACCACATATAAATTCTGATATTTGACGAGAAATAAATTCTGGTTGAGAAACTTATTAATAAAGTTTTATTTTATTTATATCAAGAAGTAGGGACCAGCAGTTAGCATAATGGCTATGTCGCTGGACTCCCACGTAGTCGACCGTGGTTCGAGTCCCAGACCCGGTGGCTTAAACTCATGCCGGGCGTGTGTGTGTGCATACCCAAGATCCCGAGAGGAGAATGGAGGAGAAGGGATGGCGGCATGGCCATCCCCCTGGGGGGTGATTTCCTGCTTTCTGTCTCTCTGTCTCCCTCTGTCTGTCTGGCGAGCGCACGCACCCTATAGCAAAAACCTCTCAAAAAAAAAAAAAAAAAAAAAAAAAGAAGGGGGGCGAGCGAGTGGTGTGATGTGTTGTGGTGTAATGGCTATGTCACTGGACTCCTATGTAGTCAACTGTGGTTCAAGTCCCAGACTCAGTGGCTTAAACTCACACTGGGTACATATGCATGCATGTCCAAGAGCTGGAGAGGAGAATGGAGGAGAAGGGATTGTTGCGTGACCATCCCCCCAGGGGGGTGATTTCTTGCTTTCTGTCTCTCTGTCTCTCTAGCAAGCACACGCTCCCTATAGCAAAAACCTCTCCCCAAAAAAAGTATGAGGGAAATACTAAAACAACTATAGTATTTCCTGTTTTCTCAATACAGATGATAAAATTTAGAAAGCCTTTGCTTCCTTTAAAACTTAATGTCTTATAATTTTATAGAATTATAACTACAGAAGTTTTCTTAACTGCAATCTCTTTTAACCAACTTAAGAAAAGAATTAAAGTTCTTCATTCCTTCTTTAAAATATATTGATGTCCAAAGATTACTAAAACTGTATTAGATACACTGGTTTACTACCACTTCTGCCAACTCAGTTACTTATCAAAGGCAATGGTGTTTGGTATGAAACTCAGTTATGCTAGGTCTTTTATTATAATGATAATATTTATGTTATACAAATAAATTGAACATTGAACAGAGAAGATAGTTGCTTTTTTCCTTCAGTAAAACCTACTTTAAACATCTAGGTTCATTTAATAAAAGAAAATCACTGAAAAAATACTTTTGAAATACATATTGTTGAGACTGAAAGAGGAAGAAAATAATAAAATTTTACAGGACTTTTAAGTTAGATTGTTTTGCATACATCTTTATGTTCTGTTTGCTTTTTCAAAAAACAGAAACTAATGTTTGTATGCATTTTCCTGTACGAAAGTTTTTTTTTTTTTTTTGAGAGGTTTTTGCTATCGGGTGTGTGTGCTCACCAGAAAGACAGAGAGAGACAGAGAGATAGAAACCTAGAACTCACCCCCACAGCGGGGATGGACACACCACAATCCCTTCTCTATTCTCCTCTCGGGATCTTGGGCACGCACACACACGCACCCGGTGTGAATTTAAGCCACCGGGTCCGGGACTCCAACCATGGTTGGCTACATGGGAGTTCAGTGACGTAGCCATTATGCTCACTGCTGGTCCCTTCTGTAGGAAAGTTTTATGAAAGAACCACTTATCTTGAATTCTAGGCTTAGGCTCTACATTAAAAATGGGAAATAGGGTCAGCACATGGTCTGGTGGTTAAGGCACTGGATCCCACAAAGCTAGCTGCACAGTCCTCAAACCCACAGATTGAAAAACACACTGAGCATGTGTGTGTGTGTGTGTGTGTGTGTGTGTGTGCCCCAAATCCCTAGAGTACAATGGAGGAGAAGTGACTGCAGCACAGCCATCCCCACTAAGGGGCGATTTCTGATTTTCCTTCTCTTTTTATCTCCCTCTGTCTCTCTCAAGAGAGCACCCTACGACGATAATCTAAAAAAAAAAGAGTAAATAAGTGTACATTTTCATGTTTAGAAATAAAAATGAAGTAGTTATTCCTTCATTTCCTCCATGTAACTTAATTTTTTCATTAACCAAACACCTTTGGTCCATATAGTTTCCTCTGGAGACCATCTGCCTGCAGTTGACTCCTTGCTTTCTGTTTCTAAGATGTTCAAGTCACATTTTGCAAAAAACAGTAGAACAATTTTGGATATGGTAAGAATTTTACGCATTCTATGGCAGCTGGTGCAACATATCAAGGAGAGGAGCAAGGCTTACCTTCTCCAAAATCTAAGCAAAAGAGAAAGTTACAGGGGCTGAAAGTCAAAGAATTAATACTTTCTTAATTGCAGCAGCCCCAGAGAAGGAAAAAAAAAAAAAAAAAAAAAAAAAAAAAAAGGAAAGATTACTTACTGGGATTGTCCTTGCATTTCT